AGAATGATGAGCCAACCCAGCGAGCTAGCAGCTGATGGGCGGGGGAGCGAGGGAGCTGCGAGCGCCCAAAAAAGTGTTTTTTTTTAAGAATGGCGCGGGATGCGGGAAAATTTATGAAAAGGCGTGCCTGTCCCGCCAAATGCGGGATGTCTGGTCACCCTATTTTAGGGAAAAGTGTCTCTAAGTTGGCAGTTGGTGACAACTAGGCTGTTTACTGGTAGCAAGGTACTAGGATCATACACCTTTAATGTAGGATCTGCATTGATTATCACTTGCTGATTGGGCACAATTTCTGTAGTGGAGCATTGAATTTAAAAACCTTAAATGACTTAAGGCTGTTAAAGGATAATTGTTTAAAGGATCACCTCTCCCATTATGAATACACCCAGGTTTTAAGTTTTGCAGAGGAAGCTTTTTTGAAAATGTTTCTGCTGTCAAAGACCTGTCTTTATAACAAGCCAAAGAAAATTTCCTTTGGCATTGCTGCTAGTATGCTCCTGTGTTGCATTTAGAAAATTTGTTTTTAAAAAAACTGCATGTCTTTTGCCAGATTCTTAACTGATTTTAGCATCAGATTTGGGGTTTATTTTAGATTGTTTTTTCTCTATTTGCATTAAAATATATTAGCTGCTTTAAAAATAAATCAACACTTTAATGAATTTCCTATTAGTTAAAATTAGGGCTCTGAAAAAGTAGTTAATTGTGGATTTTTTCTATCCTAAAATATATTTATATAGCAGACATTTGAAAGACTTAAGTCTAAGAATAATACCTGACTTTATGACTCCTAGGGTGTTTGGCCCAGACTGATCTGTGCATATTATCTTTGTTTCTTAATTGTTCCCTGATCCACTTGGCTTTTTTATTTCTTGTGAATCAGCCCTTCTTATCTACAAAACTGGTTTTTCTCTTTGTAGTTTTTTTTTTCAGTTACAGGAAGTGGGGGTGTGTAGCCAAAGGGACATTCAGACTAAAGAGGAACAATAAAATTTAGTAATGATTCATCTTATTTTTGCTGCCAGTGGCAAGGAATTTTATGTATGTGAAGTGCTTTTGTGTTGCTAAACATTATATCATCCAATTTTAGATTTCGGTTCATCTAGAAACCCACAAGCTAATTATGTTGTAGGCCTAGAATTCTTTATTAACATTTTAAATAAAGAAGCTAAAGGTCTTTCAATGAGAAACATATTTTTTCAATTTTCTCAAATTGAGAGAAGGCACTTTAAAATCCACAGAGGATATTTTTAAGAAGAAATCATAACAAAAATACTAGTATGGTGTTTCTTTCAAAAATAAATGCCTCTTAAAAATAATATTTTTTGAACGGTTAATTTCTAAATTTTTTTTTACATATCTGGATTATGTTTTGCAATTGTTGCATAGATCTCTCCTTCCCCCCCCCCCTCTCTCTTTTACATATGTCTGTTTGAGGACAATAATTAATCCAGGCTTTCATGGTTGACATGCCAATAAAATTGTTTATTATTGTATACAAACTTCTACTATAGAAGGTACAGAGTTTCTTTTTAGAGCTTGGGAAAGTCCAGTACCTGAAGCCCTCTTTTGCTCCACAATGGCTCTCAGTGCAGGGCTACCATGCTAAATGGCTTTCTTGCTTGGTATGATTTTGGGTTCCTTTTAAAGCCACCTCTTTGTCCAAGTCTCTGCCAACTGTCATATCAGAACTAAGTGAATCTTTTCCACTTCCTGTCAATCTTTTTCTGATTCAGTTAAAATTTGGATGACACTGAGAGGCTTTTTAAAAAAATCACTCTATTTAAAAGAATAATACCATATTGAGGATTAAGGGATGAATAGGACATCCAAGGAAAACATTTTTTCCCTTTTATGTATGAGTGACAGGCTATGCTTCATTTTTTATCTCAGGTGGTATGTTTAATTATGCAGACGATTTTCCCCTTCCATTCAATCTTGTTAGATTCTTTGACACTGCCTGGACAAGTCCCTGCAGTTTTCTTGGCAAGCATATTCAGAAGTCCTCCTTCCTAGGACTGAGAGAAAGTGCTAGCCCAAGATCACCCGCCTGGATTTGTGCCCATGGTGGGACTAGAACCCATGATATCTGGTTTCTTAACCACTATATCAAAATGACTGTCTATATTACAAAGATCAAATAGCAATTCCGCCTATTGGTTAAGACAGCAGACTAGAAGGCAAGAAACAGTGAGTTCTAATCTTGCTTTAGGCATGAAAGCTGTCTGAGTGACTTCGGGCCAAGCCAGCCATCATATTTATAAAAGTAATAAAGGTGGGATTAAAAAAAATCTAAAAAAGAAAAAATTGCAACCTTATATTCTAATTATCATTTCTCTTTCGGCATAGAAAGCAATCAAATGACAAATTTGAGTCATATGGAGCTATTTGCTTCAAGTCTGCTCCTGCTAAGGTAACACCATGTGGTGGGAGAGATAAATAAAACACGGGAATTGTTGGCTTAACAATGCATGAAAATGGCCCTGGTTAGAGGGTGGTATTTGGACTGATTTTGACAAAATATTAGGGGTTTACGCTAATTAGCTTGAGCTGTGTTATATTTTGTGTGAACTTCACCTTGTCAGCCAGGCAGCCTAACAGTGTCCTTTTAATATTTCTTTTTCTGCTTAGGTATGACTCTGGAAAGGATGGATACATTGACCTGATGGAATTGAAGCTGATGATGGAGAAACTTGGTGCACCTCAGACACATTTGGGTCTGAAGAATATGATCAAGGAAGTGGATGAAGACTTTGATGGCAAGCTCAGTTTCCGTGAGGTACGTGCTAGTAAGAAAGATATGCAATGTAATAAGAATGTGGAACTTAGCTACTACTTCTGCTTTTCAGGTTTTAGGAAAAAAATAATGTGCAGTACATTAAGAATAAGATTTCAGTACCCTATTTACAGTAACACAAGAGGTTATTCAAGGACATAATTTCCCAAAGGAATTCCCAAGTATTAGAACTTGCTATTTATACATCTTCCCTATCCATCCCCAAATTTAAACTATGGGAATCTTATGCTTTAAAGATATTGAAATCCAAACTCTGCAGTACTACCTGACTTGCATAGCATGTTAAGTCATGCTTACTTGGTAGTAATCTTCTACTTATTTATTAGATTTATATTCTGCCTTTATTTTGTGAGATTCAGAGTGGATTTTTTCTTACTAGAACCCTGTGAGTTAGATTGAGCTGAAAAAAAGTGATGCAAAGCCACCAAGCTGGCTTCTATGCCTAAGGGAGGATTAAAATGTACTTTAAATCCTGAGAATACTGATTGCATTAAGCCCTGCACGAAACAATGGAATATAAAACAGTTTGGTGTAGAACCAGTTTGGTGCAGTGGTTAAGGTATGACGCTAGAAACTAGGACACTGAATTCTACTTCCACCTTAGACATGAAAGGTGACTGGGTTACTCTCTGTCAGCCCATACCACTTCAGAGGGTTGTTGTGAGAAAACGGGAGGAAGAATGAATATCATTGTGTTTATCACCTTGAGTTATTTATAAAAATAATAAAAGTGGAATATTAAATAAATAAATAATACATTGCTTTTGTTCTTACTAAACACTGATATGCTTGAATTTGCTTGGTTTTGACTCGGCATATTGGGTAAGAACTATAGTTGGACTGTAGGGAACATGCCATGGATTTATAAGCCTCTTAGTCTCCTCCACTTCCTCTTTCCCCTTGTATGCTTCAATCACTCAGGCACATTCTGCATTGAGCACAATAGGGATTACTGTAATATCCAAAGAAAAATCAGAAGACAATTCAAATGGTATTTTCTGAACCAATTTTGGCACATAAATAATGTTATCCACATCAGAGCCATTCATTTATTGAAATTAAGAACTAAGGGGTGAATTGTATACATGCACAGAGTCAGGGAAGGGAACTTGGAAGAAATGTTAAGAAATATTAAGCAAAAAAGACAAAAGTGTTACTTAAGTCCTTGGAACAGAAGTAATATTAAGAAAAGAATCCGGTTGGCTCCTGCATGACTCAGTGAAGCATAAGAGGGAAGGAAGAAGAAGTACAATCAACTTGTGAAATTTTGTTATTTTAGCCTACAATAAAGCATCGTTCTCATCTTCCTGTGAAGTTGAGTTTTGTATCTGATCTGCATTTAGGAGGACAGGAAGAGCCTCTTATTCCCTGCAAAAATAAGCAATATTCACTTGTTGGGTACTACCCAAAGACATCCAAACAATGTTTTCCAACTTCAGATTCTTTGGCATGGTACAAAGTGGATAGTCCTGCGCAAAGCAAGTGCCTCTTTGATTCAGATATCGTACATGCATTGTGAAAACCATTCTTTATGGAACAAAAGTTTAAGGTGGGTGTCGGCAACCCGCAGCTCCAGAGGCACATGCAGCTCTTTGACCCATCTCCTGCAGCTCCCTGCTGACCTGGTCGCATGACCTGTTCTCCACCCCAAGACACTGGCCCGAACTGGCTGTGGCTGATAGCAACCTCACTAATATGGGGGCTGGCGGAGTGGGAATGGGATCTGGGAGAAGGGTACGATGGAAAAGGGGACAGGCCTGCAGCTGAGGAGCGAGCATGAACTGCAGTGGCAGCTTTCCCGAAAATGATCCTCCTTCTCATGCAAACCTCTGGCCAGCTGTTGTGGGGCTAGGAAGGCGCATGATCGGGGCAAGCATCAGGATACCCTCAAGTGAGTGGCCAGGCTCAGCCAAAGCGCAGTGAAGGTGCACAGAGCAGACAGTTTGACTGGCTTTCTCTGAGCCTGATCCTCAGGGTGTGCATGCAAGGTTCGGTGGGGCCAACCCCTTTTCCCGCTGTCCTCAGCTTCTTCACTCCTCCAGCTGAGCAGTGCCAGCGGTGGCATTCATTGAAAGCACCCTAATGCCGGCGGTGGCACCGCTCAGCTGGAGGAGTAAAGAAGCTCAGGGCAGCGGGAAAAGGGGGATGGCCCCGCCGAACCGCGCACGCCAGTTTGACAGGCCTGATCTTGAGGGACATCAGGAAGAGCTACTACCAAGACAACAGTCAAATGAAAGAAAGGAAAGGGCGGAGGCACATTCATACTTGGAAAATTCTGTTACTATAACTTTACAGTAGTTCTGAAGTACTATTGTAGTAAAGTAGTACTAATCTACGTACATAACATTCCTAATTGATCTACCTTGAAGGGCAAAGGAAATTCCTACCACTCTGGTATAGCTGTAGCATAGATGTTGTGCAGCAGGGGAATGGTATAATAAAAGGATAGATCATTTTTTGAAATGTAGTATTTCTGCAGCATTAGAGTTAATGTGGAGCAAATAAAAAGACTAATCAATTGGATTGTGGACTAACCTGAATATTTATTTCTCATCTTTTGTATTAATTCATAAATGACTACTTTGAAATGTAATAGTCTAAATAATTGGAAGTTACGACTTTATGTTGATGTATTACTGTAATAATAAAAAGAACTCTTAAAGCCTTTCAGTATAGTTCCTCTAAAGCATTATTCACTTGATCTTGAGTAAACAATTCAATTGTAATGGCAATATTACACGTTACTACCTTACTCCTGATCCCTGTCCTGCTTTCTGTCCTATGGCAGAGTCCTGATTTTGGGTATGCAGAGCAGGTTAGGTAAAGTTGTTGTTGTTGTTGTTGT